AAATGTATTTCATTCATCACATAATAAATCCATTAACAAGTTTTTTCCCATATCAAATTGCACAATGCCACACACACAACACCATTCTGTGTGTTTTTGTACCACAACACCATTCTCTGTTTTTTTTTTGCCATTTCAAAAAAAAAAAAAAAAATGCTATTCTTAATTCTTCTTGGAAAATTGCATTTTGTCTCTTTGTAATTTATTTCATATTGTTGTGCCATTTTTACTATTTGGCATATGGTGGTGCGGTATTTTCCAAAAAAAAAAAATCTAAATTTTTTCCATTGACGTTAATGTCACAGTTACGATGGTGTTGTCGGTTATGATGATGATGATGTTCCTAACAACAATCAAACGTAACACACACCAAACACGTTGCAACCTCAAAAGAGTTGGTCTTTATGTGGCTAAAACAAACCAACATTTGGTTGCATTTTGATTACATTTGTAGTTGCTGTTTTTTTTCAGAAAAATAAAAACATTTTTCCTGCGAACAAAAATAGATACTGGCTTTTTGCCAAAAAAAAGAGAACTTTTTCCAAAGAAGATGTTCAAAAGAACAATGGGAGTTGTTTCTAACTATGAAATCATATTCCATGGCTGCTTGCCTGCCTTGCCGCCTTGTTGCTTCTTCTTTGAAATGCATATAATAAATATTCATGGTAATAGACAACAAAATCTGCAACATAGGTACACACACATACACTCAAATAAAATTATTTTTGGAACCAACCTAGGCTACAGTTAATCAGTCATATGAACTAAACAAGAGGAACCCAACTACAAAAGAAGGTATCTCATGTCATAGCTATAACTGTATGACTACAGCATGTCTGGTAAAAACAACGATGTAAAAATCTGATTGACATCCCAACCTGAGTAAAATTTTGGCACCTCACCCATCACAAAACCCCGCCTTCACAATAAATGCCTTAATCTTGTTCTTCCTATCGAGAACTACAACAAACTCCTAACCCCACCCCCTCTCTCCTATCAAAGGCCGATCCCATCACCATCACCACCAACCACATTTTCATTAGCCGAACAACTCCTCGACTGTTGAATTTCATCATCATCATCATTGTCGTAGTGATGGTACTTCAAGTTCAAACGTTGTTTATTGTTTTGAGATTTATGAGAAAATTAATTATTTTAGCTGTCTATTTTTTTTTTATTTTTTGCTCTAACGCACTCGCGCCTTTGACGCTCGATACAATGAACGATGATGATGATGCGTCACATGCTTAAAACACAGATGAAGTGTGCAATGGCATAGGGCAAAAAAGCTAAGGCCAAACTGCCAAGTGATTTTAGTTTCAAACGCACACGTTTGACGACAACACACTCATCCAGGCACACACGAACAAACAAACACCACACAGCTTTGTAATTTTTGGACTTGATTCTTGAATCTATAAACGCAGAACAAGAAGACAATCTCAAATAGTTTCATGTAAAATATATTTTTAGTATGGCGTGAAGTTTTTAGGGATGTTATAACCGGATTTTTTAAATTAGGCGTAATTAAAAAAAAAAAAATGGTCGAAATTGTATCGAAGTTTTATATAGCATAATTTTCAATACAGAAAAAACGCGACGAAATTTTAAAATTTTCTGTATACAAATTTCGGCGAAATTTTGTACAATTTTCGATAAAATATTTTTTTCGACCAAATTTAAAAATTTGTAATTCGAAAATATCGACGATTTTATTTAAATTTTGATGAAAGAAAATTAACGACAAAAATTTGGCAAAAAATTCATGAAAGAAAATTTCGACAAAATTTGGTCGAAATTTTCGGTCGAAAAAAATTTGTTTGACGATATTTTAAAAATTGTAAATCGTAAATATCGACGTATTTTTTTACATTTTCATGAAAGGAAATTCACGACGAAATTTTGCAAAAAAAATTCATCATAGAACATTTCGACAAATTTACAAAAATTGAGAAAAAATTTTAAATATAGAAAATCTCGACAAAATTTTAATAATTATACCCTACACAACTATGTTGTCAGGGTATTATAGCTGTGTGCAGCCCCAAGAGTTTGTAAAGCCGCGAAATATTGGTCCTAGGCCCACCTTTGAGTATACCGATCGTCATATCTTGAATAGCTGAGTTGGTCTAGACATGTATGTCCGTCCGTCTGTCCATTATAATTTGTAAACACGACACAAGCACGACAGTTATAGACCAAACTTCACGAATTTTTGCATTTGGGATGGGTTCTGGTCAATGAAGATTCCTAATTTTTGGTAAAGATCGGTTAATATTTAGGAGATGAAATGGACCAAATACTTAATTTTTGTCGTTTTTTCGGGTCGCTCCAGAGACCACAATTATGGAGAAATTTTACATGGGGAAGGGAATTGGGTCAACTAATAAGCATGCCTATTTTGATAAAGATCGGTCAATATTTAGCGGGTCAAATGGACTCTGACTTTTGTGTAAAAAAATCACAAAATGTGTATTCTATAGCGTATATATTTACCCCTGAAGAGCATAGACCCGAGAAGTTGACAGTATATCCAAGAGGAGTAATTATACCCTACACAGCTATGTTGTCAGGGTATTATAGCTGTGTGCAGCCCCAAGAGTTTGTAACGTCGCGAAATATTGGTCGTAGACCCACCTTTAAGTATACCGATCGTCATATCTTGAATAGCTGAGTTGGTCTAGACATGTATGTCCGTCCGTCCGTCCGTCCGTCTGTCCATTATAATTTGTAAACATGATAGAGGCCACAGTTATGGACCAATCTTCACGAAATTTTGCATGTAGGATGGGCTCTGCCCAATGAAGAACCCTATTGTTTTTTGTAAAGATGATAATATTTAGGGCATGAAATGGACCAATCAAATAATTATTTTTTGTCGTTTTTTTCTGGTCGCACCAGAGACCGCAATTATGAAGAAATTTTACATGGAGAAGCGGATCGGGCCAAAGAATAAGCATGTCTGTTTTGATAAAGATCGGTCAATATTCAGCGGGTCAAATGGACCCCGACTTTTGTGTAAAAAATGACAAAATTTGTATTCTATGCCGTATAAATTTACCCCTGAAGGACAAACCCGAGAAGTTGACAGTATATCCAAGAGGAGTGGTTGACCTTAAAATTAATACCAATTATATTGTCGTATGTACTCGGATGTACGTACGTACATCAAATATTATTTAGTAACCCATTAACATTAGAGGACAGAAATATAGCACTGATGGCTTAAAAAATTTCCAATAGGTTCCAGTTATGGTCAAGGACAGCGCCTATAATTTTCGGTGATGATGACAAACAATTTGGGATGAAGTGGATTGAAAACTTGTTTTTTTTGTGTTTTTTTTTCGAATCGATCTATAGGCCACAAGCCGAACATCATAACACAACCCACGGTGAAAGGAATCTGGACAAGTAATTAAGAGGGCTGTACTGAATATTGGTAATATTCGGAAAATATGTCAGTGTAAGGAAGAGGTGCTTGTGGATCTGTAATCGGTGCAATATCACGAAATATTGCCTAGGCCTGAAATATACATCCGCAGAAATATTCATCATAGAAAATGTTGACGAATTTACAAACAAGTATTAACGTGTCAGTCGTTGTTGCCGACAAATATATACCCTCAGCCTATGGTTTACGGAGGTCTTCGAAATTATACACAGGTTATATTATTCGCTTAATTTTGATCAAATCGTTTTCAATTCAATTTGCTTCAATTTAATACAGTTTAAAAGTTTCTGGGGAAGGACTTGATCTAGGCTTTGTAAAAATAATAGAATCCCCAGAAGGAGAGGACCAATGGTTTCCATCTTCAGAACTGAGCTAGGCTCGATAAATATAAAAGGTTGTGCAAAGTTTGGTTCAAATCGGACATTCCATTCGCCTGATATTGGCTTTATAAATATTGAAAATATTGAGCCTTTGTGGGGCTCTTCCTACTTGATCTAGGCTTTGTAAAGATGAAAGGTTGTGAAAAGTTTGCTTCAAATCGAATAGTTTGTTCGCATGATATTATAAAATTAATTGTTTACAAAATGTTGACTACTTTGTGGTGGATGTACCCGAAGGAGTGGGCCGATATTCCCCATCTTCGAATTTTTACTTAGTTTGGAAGAAATATTTACCCTTTGTGGGCCGAATTTTTACCCGTGACAATAGAACTATTTTCTGTGCACATATTTAATGTAACTATTCTAAATAGGATACGAACAAAATTTGACGTCGATACATCCCTGCATTCGGGAGATACAGTACCAGTCCAATATCAACAAAACTTTTTTTCATATAACTTTTTCTCAGTATGAAGAAGATCAAATAAATAAAAAATATATATATATATATATATATATATGAAATTTGTTTCATCAGTAATTTTTTTAATTGATTTTTTTTTGCATTTGATTATCAAAATTTTATATAAAAAATTTCAATAAATTTCAAAAACTAAGTTTCATATAAAATAATTTCATTGAAACTTTCATATGAAAAACTTTCTATGAAACATTCATATAACATTTTTTGTCATACTGAAAAATAAATTAAATACTCATTCTATAAAAAAATATTATAATGAAATTTTGTATATAAAAAAATCCAATGAAATGTTATTTCAATAAAACTTTCATATAAAATTTTGCAATGATAGTTTCACATAAAAAATGAAAAACTTTCTTTAAAACTTTCATACAAAAAATTGCAATGAAACTTTCATATGAAAAAAAGAATCAAAGATTCATTCTTTAAAAAAAATTTCAACGAAAGTTCGTATAAAAAATATTGAAATTTTCGTATTAAAATAAAAAAAAGTATTGAAATTTTTTTCTATAGAAAATTGACTAAAATTGTTTTCATATTTAAAGTTTTTTTTTTGAAAAATTCAATAAAATATTGTATAAAAAAGTTATTGAAATTTTGTTATAGACTTTTTTTTAAAAAATATTTATATTGAAATTTTTATTTTAAGTTTTGAAATTGTTTTCTATTGAAATATGTGACTTACCTCAACATCATATTCACCGTTACGTTTACACCGCCAGCCATCCTTGCCGATACAATCCGAATAATGGGCAATTAGCACAAAGTCGACAATGACCCAGACCAGGGAAGTCAAGAGAATAATGCGGCAGGTATTGGAACGCATGCGACCACGTAATAGACGGGTTAGGCCTAATGAAGACATTGTTGTTGTTGCTGTTGGATGGTTGAGCTTCGAGAAGTTGTTGATGAGTTTGAGTGAGTGTTTAACCGATTTTGTTATCTGCTGTTGTTGTTAATGACCACTTTGTTGTGGTTGTTGTTGCTACTGCTGCTATTAAATAACTTGTAAATGCGTGTTGACAGCAACACAAAGGGCGTTGTGTCGTGTTTCAAAGTTGTTGGCCCTTTGGGAGATGACTCCAAAAAAATGGGTTGTCTGTCTGTCGTTCGGTGTAACTGTCTAATTAGAATGCCAATACGAGGCGTTTGATGGGGGTTTCTTGTTGGAAATATTCACAGCTGGGTGTTAATTGATTGATTGTTGAAAAATGAATTTTTTTCAGGAAGTAATTTTTTACAGTTAAAGGAATCACATCAAAAATAGGAGAACGAGAGAGAGGAGGATTTTTGTTGTTAACAATAATAAAAAATTAAAAGGATAATATATCCTTGTTGCTACTGATATTTTATATTGATTGTAGTGTTTTTTCTTTTGTTGTTGCTTGATTGATTGATGATGATGTGTTTGTGGGAGGAGATTTCTTTTCTAACTAGTTGTTGTAACGTCTTCTTCTCTTGTTTTTGTTGTTGTTTTGTTATCTAAGGATGTCCTTTAAAATGTTGCTATGAAGCCTGCAGGATGATGCTGCTGATGCTGATGATGACTATATCATGTGATTATTTTTAAAGCTGTTTCGAAACTTTGTTGAGTTTGAGTTTGATGATGACGACAACAACAAAGACAATGCTGATGCTTCTTTTGATGTTGTTTTTGTTGTTGCTGGCGATGATGTTTTATTGGCATTATCTTGAACCCAACCATCTATTTTTTGTTGATGTTGTTCGTTTTTTTGTTTTGCAAAAATTATAAATAAAATATTGAAAGGGGTAAGAGTGTGTGTGTGTGTGTTGAGGAGGGTTTCAAAGTTAATGAAGCGTTTCAAAGCTTTTGTCGAGGTGCTGGTCTGTTTCCTTCCTGCCTTTTCCTGACTCTATTGAGGTCTTTGTTTGGTTCTTTTTCAGATTCTATGCCATCAAAACAAACGAGAAAAAAACTTCTTGTTGTTGGCCTTTTGCCCTGTTGGTCAATGGGCTAAGTAAACACAAAAGCAAAAGCAAGAATGGGAAAAAATACAACAAAAAAAAAAATCCACAGAGGAGAAAGAGAGTGAGAAAAAAAAAACTCGAAGCAGCAGCTGTAGAAAATTATGAATAACAACAAAGTAGTGCCACAATGAATAGTTGGCTGGCTGGATGGCTGTATTGGCTTGGCTGAATGCTCGCTTGGTTGACTTAGATTTCTTGTTAACTTCTATTTTGCGATTTTCTATGCCAAAGAGAGATGGTTTATATTTTTTTCTGTAGAGTTGCTGTTCTTTTTATCTATTTTTCTTCTTTTTTCTATAGCTCTATGCAAATTTGATGCATATAGTGTTTTTTGTTGCTGTTGTCAAAATGTATGTCGGTTTTCATTTTTCTTCTGGTTCGTTTTTCATTGCTTGTTTTACAATGTAAAAAGTTCATGCCAACTCTCCACTCCACAATTTTTCTGTTGTTGTCCCAAATTCAAGTAAATCGTCAAAGTAACTCCGCTCTATTTTTTGGCCAGATTTTGTGTGTCGAGAGTCTTTTTTTACTTGCTTAGCAACTTGCTAAACAACAACAACAATGGCGTTGTTAGACCTTGAAATTTATTCATGTGCAACAACTGGAAAGAAACAGAGAGAAAATAAAAATTAAAAAATAAATATTGGACAATAAATTTATATAGAAATATATAAATTTTATATATTTTATGTTTTTTTATTCTATTCTACTATTATTTTTTAGGAACAAAAAATTTCACCTAAAATGTGAAATTTTCTATAGAAAAATGACAGCAATTAAAATCTATAAAATTAAAATTTTGTTATATAATAAAATAATTTTAATTATTTTGTATAAAAAATCCATAGGATTTTACATAAAAAAATCAATGAAAATTATTTTGGAAGAATATTCTTCTAGAACCATTACAGGGTTGGATTTGCTAAAAAAAAAATTGTCAAGGACTACCATAGGCATGGATTTTTTAAAGGATATATTTTCAAGGCCTACCAGAGGCGTGGATATTTTTTCAAAGCCTCCCGTAGTCGTGAATTTTTTAAAGTCTTTTAATCGAGTGGATTTTTAAAAAGATATTTTTTAAAGCCTTTCTCAGGCGTGGATTTTATACCCTTTTTATACCAAAACTATGTTGTCAGGGTATTATAGCCTTATGCTGCCCCAAGACTTGTAACGCCGCGAAATATTGGTCGTAGACCCACCTTTAAGTATACCGATCGTCATATCTCGACTAACTGAGTCAATCTAGACATGGTGTCCGTCGGTCCGTCTGTCCATTATAATTTGTAAACACAATACAGACCACAGTTATGGACCAATATTCGCGAAATTTTGCATGTAGGATGGGTTCTGCCCAATGAAGACACATATTGTTTTTGGTGAAGATCAGTTAATATTTAGAGGAATTAATGGACCAAATACTTAATTTTGGTCCGTTTTCAGGTCGCTCCAGAGGCCGCAAATAATGGTCCAAACATCGCGAATTTTTACTTTGAGAAATATCGGTCAATATTTAGCGGGTCAAATGGACCCTGACTTTTGTGTGAAAAAATACAAAATGTGTATTCTATGGCGTTTAGATTTACCCCTGAAGGACATAGATGTTGACAGTATATCCAAGGGGAGTGGTTGCCCTTTAAATTGATACAAATTATATTGTTGTATGTACTCGGATGTGGGAGTTACACTTAAATATATATAGGTATTTACGTATTCAGATATTATTTAGTAACCCATTACCTCATTAGAGGGCGACAATATAGCGCCTATCGCTTTGAAATTTTCCATGAGGATCCAGGTATGACCAAGGACAATGCCTATAATTTGCGGGGATGATCAGATAATTATATTGGGATGAAGTGGACCGAAAACTTAATATTTGTGTTTTTTCGTGTCGACAATTGAAAACCGAACATCAGGGAATCAGGACAAGTCATTAAAAGGGCTGTATTGAATATTAGTAATATTTTTTTTACCTCTAGTCGGTTCGTGGAAGTTGTGTAGGTTATCATATTGCGAAATATTGCCCAAGCTCAGAACATAGAACAACAAAAACTTAGAGTTTCGTGGAAGTTGTGTAGGTTATTATATGGTCGGCCTCGGTGAAGGGAGTCAGGACAAGTAATTAAAAGAGCTGTACTGAATATTAGTAATATTTCTTGACCTCTAGTCGGTTCGTGGAAGTTGTGTGGTCGGCCTCGTCCGAATATACTACTCCGCTCACTGGTTTAGAGTATGTTTTTTCAAGGCCCACAACAGACGTAGATTTTTAAATGATATTTTTTCAAAGCCTTCCTAAGGTGTGGCTTTTTTAAATATATTTTTCAAGGCTCTGTCAGGCGTTGATATTTTAAGGATATTTTTCAAAGCTTTCCTTAGGAGTGCATGTTTTAAGTTATATTTTTTCCACCACCACAATCGCGGATTTTTTTAAAGGATATTTTTTCAAGGCCTACCAGAGGCGTAGATTTCTTAAAGAATATTTTTTCAAGGCCTACCATAGGCGTGAATTCTTTAAAGAATATTTTTTTCAAGGCCTACCATAGGCGTGAATTCTTTAAAGCATATTTTTTCAACGCCTTCCACAATGGTGGTTTTTTAAAGGATATTTTTCCAAGGATTATTACAGGCGTGGTTTTTTCGAAAGAATATAATTTCAAAGCCTTCCGTAGGCGTGGATTTTTTAAAGAATGAATTCCTCAGCCATTGATTTTTTAAAGGATATTTTTTTCAATGAATTCCTCAGGCGTAGATTTTTTAGAGGATATTTTTCAATATATGAATTTTTTTAAAGGTTATTTTTTCCAGTTGTGGATTTTTTAAAGAAAAAATTTCAAAATTTTTAACAAAATATTTGTTAACGCTACCTGAATCGTGGATTTTATTAAATTATATTTTTCATGGACTTTCCGAAGCGTAATTTTCAAAAAAATATTTTTATACGATCCTGGATAAGCGGGTTTTCTATTTCAATATTTTACCAGGATTATCGTTGATTAGGTAGGTTGGCTTATTAAATATTTTATTCTCTTAAAAAAATCACGATAGAGCTTTGATATTTTACAATTTACAGAAGCGGATATTATTCATTCAATTTTTCAAAGAATAAGAAACCTCTTGACAGAAATTAAAAAAAGTAGATCTGGGTTTTTTTATAGAGCCCGATCAATTTTAGGCGGGTATGAGCATTTCGATATAAATATTTGTTTAAATTTTCCAATCTAAGTGGATGTCATTTCCACCGACCGATTTTATGGTGGCCATTCTAATAATAAAAATATTTTTTCTAAGACCATTCATGGAAATTTATTTAACGGAAATTTTTTCTAGGTTCGGAAAAAGCATGGATTTATTGAAGAATATTTTTTCTGAGGCCATTCAAAACCAACGTTAAGTGTAGATATTTAAATTATATTTATTTTGCGATTGATCGCACAACCTTTTGTCGTACCGACTTCATTGTGCAACGAATTGCAATTTTACGCCTGGTTTAAGCGTTTATAAACAAATCATTAACGAGCAATTGTTTGTGTTGTTGTTGTTGCTGTCACAATGTGCAATTTTACTGCCATGTAAATCTGAGTTGTTGTTGTTGGCCATCTATTTTTGATGCCGCCACCGACAATTGGTGGTAATTTCAATGAAATTTAATTTAAATTTTGCAATACGCACAGTGGTTTGAAAAAAATAATAATAATAATAAATTAATAAATAAATAATAAAAATAAATAAATAAAAAACATTTATAATAAAAAAATTGAAAGGGTTTTGTAAATAAATAAAAAACACAATAAATGTATATAAATTTGTATGTCAGTTTAACACAAGGAAGGGTTTATGGACAGAAACTTCAATTATATCTTCAACGGCTCCTAGACTTCTAAAAAGTGTAGTCAATAACTACTAGTCATTGAA